TCAGAGGTTAAGAGCACTGACTGCTCTTCCAGAGGTCCTGAGTTCAATTCCCAGCACCCATATGGTGGCTCACAACCATCTGTAATGAGATCTGGTATCCTCTTCTGTATACATAATAAATAATTTAAAAAAAAAATCTATTTATTTATTATGTCTACAGTGTTCTGCCTGAATGTATCTCTGAAGGCCAGAAGAGGGCATCAGATCTCATTACAGATGGTTGTGAGCCACTAGGTAGATGCTAGGAATTGAACTCAGGACCTCTGGAAGAACAGCCAGTGCTCTTAACCTCTCAGCCATCTCTCCAGCCCCCGAGCCCATTTCTATCACTACTGTGGCTCTGGTGGCTTACCACTCAAAACCTACTGTAGTCACCATCTGTCTCCCCCTGGTCTATCCTGATGGCAGAAAACCCTTGATACCCAGTCCCTCAACTCCTGAGAATGTAAATGTCAGCTTAACTCCCACGGACATGCTTCTCCCACCTCCAAACAGCCCATCAAAAGTTATCCTCTTTACGATATTTTCACTGTAGGTCCTATTTGGTACTGTTTGTTAGAGTGTGGCTTCCCCCATTTGAAGGTAAGCTTCATGAAACCTAGAACTCTGCTTTTCTGTGAGGAGCTGGAGTCCCTGGTATCTAGGATGTGTTGGCTATGCATGTAATGAATGGACATACCGAGGGGGAAGACAGCAAGTTCAGCATGGAAAGGCTGATCCCAAAGCACTTCTGTAGGATAAAACGGACACAGAGAAGAAACTGGGGTGTGCACCCAAATACTAAAACTATTTCTTTTTTAAAAAGATTTTCCTGCCTTTGATCTCAACACTCCAGAGGCAAAGGCAGGCAGATCTCTGAATCTAAGGCTAGCCTGGTCTACAGAGCAAGTTCCAGAACAGCCAGGACTACACACAGAAACCCTGTTTCAAAAAATAAAATAAATAAATAAAAATAAAGATTTATTTTCTTTTTCATTTATGGATGTGTGTGTAAGCCCACTAGAGTGGCCAGGCCCCTCCCCAGAGGACCCCCAACTGCCAGGTTCCACCCACAGAACACTCTAACTGCCCTAAATACTGGACCCTGCAGAGCAAAAAGCCCAATCTCTGGACATGAAATCCCACCAATCTCCACCCTGGAGCGCTCCACTCTCTTCCCTGGATTCTGATCCCCTTGCAAGAGCAGCAAGTGCTCTTAACCACTAAGCCCTCTCCCCAGCCTCTAAAGATTATTTCTGATGATAAAAATATAGTTTATAAAAAACTGCAGGTTATGAAACATTTTTAAATTTATGCTTATTTGAGTTTTCTAATTTTGCTAGGAATTTGGAAGTTTTTTTGGGTTTTGTTTTGGGACAGGGTATCACTGTAACTCTAGCTGGCCTGGAACTTACTACATAGTTCATCTGGCTTCAAAGACACTGAGAGCTGAGGTTAAAGGTGTGTGCCTCCACACCCAGCAGTTTTTAAATACCTTCTCATTTAAGTTTTAAAGCTGAGGCAGTCAGGGGAGTCCTGGGAGGTCCTGAACTCATGTGAGAGTCAGTAAACATCCTCAAGAACTGATGACCCTTGTAACTGAAGTCACCCTTGTGACTTCAAATCTCACCCTGTCCTTGGACTTGCCTCTCCCAAACCCGGTTAGTTTTTGTTCATTGTAAGTGAATCTGTCTTTGGTATTGTTACATCAGCACAGAGAAGTGAAACCCATGATTCAAAGTAAACTATGCGGCTCCAGTGTAGCTCAGTGGCAGAATGTTGCCTAGCAGCCTATGATCATGGTCCTGGGTTCGATCTTCAGTGTAGCCAAAACAAAACTTACATGAAAACCTTATGTTTTGTAAGTATAAAAACTATGGGAATGATAGTCAAAAATTTCCACTGCCAAAAGATAATTATGTAGTAAATATACAATACCCCAAAGCAGATTTTTCTCAACTTTGTAAGATGGAATTTTGTGAGTAAACAATTAAAAAACCTGTTAATATATTATTAGAGTTATTATGCTGTCAATAGCCCATGTTAGATTAAAAAGATTCACAAAATTTTTTAAAATTTATTTAACTTATTTATTTTATGTGAATTGGTGTGAAGGTGTCAGATTTCCTGGAACTGGAGTTACAGACAGTTATGAGCCACCATGTGGGTGCTGGGAATTGAACTTGGGTCCTCTGGACGAGCAGCCAGTGTCTTAACCACTGAGCCATCTTCTCTCCAGCCCGAGTCACAATACTTACTTTTAAAATGGACTGCACTGTGACTAGCATGGAAATAATGAAACACGAGCAAATACGTCATTGCACCACATTTTAAACATACCTGCAGGCTTTTGAGACTGCAGAGGAAACATTTTTCTATAAAATTTTCTGAAGTGTAACATGACATCAAATTTCCATAAAATACAATTTGTGCAGAACATTCTAAGGTTTACCATAAGTTTATTACAATTTAATGTACAAATTACACAAGATAAAAATAAGAAAATTCATTTCATTTATTCTCACGACTCTCAAAAGCCCTGAAGTTTGCTGAAATAGAAAAAATAAAATAAAATTAAGCATTATCACTCATTTCTTAATACTTAGTTGTAGTTATGTTTAAAGACACATCCAAACACATGCACATTCATAATTCAAGAGGAAACACTAAAAACATATCTCACATCCAACTTATTCTCCTAAAAGGATACATCTTTATAAAGGGAGTTAATTAAAAAAATAAAAATTAGAAAAAAAAATAAAAAAACTGGGCTACACAGTTCTAAGCCAGCTAAGAATGGCTCACACAAAAACACGTACAAGAAATGAAAGCTGAGTATGATGTGATACACTGGTAACTCCAACACTGCAGAGGCTGAGGTCGGACAGCAAATCCAGGCCAGCCTGAGCTACCCTCAAAAAGACAAGCTGACTGGTAAATGCTGGCCTCATATGTCCAGGACCCTGAGTTCTGTCTGGGGAAGCGGGGATGCTTTAAAAAAAATGTACTCAAAAAACTGGGTATGGTGGAACATGCCTCTAATCCAAGCTACATAGTGAGACCCTGTCTCAAAAAGGAAAAAGAAAAAAGAAAAAAAGTGGCTTGGGAGTTGGAGAAATGGCTTAAAACACTCGATGCTCTTGCAGAGGACCCGAGTTCAGTTCCCAGCACCCACATCAGGCAACTCACAACTGCGTGTAACTCCAGATCCGGGAGATCTGATGCCCTCTTCTGGTACCAGGCTCACCAAGTGGTCAGTTGTACTTTCCGAAGACCTTTGAACCCCATCACCACACATCTAGGGTCTCTCTACTTTGCTGCCAGTCTGTTCGGCCTATGCTTCGAGAAACAGCCATATGGGAGGAATAGGAAGCATCCTCAGGTGTCAACCTACGTGGGAACTAGCCCACCTCCAAAGCCAGCCTGAGAAGCCACCGAAAAAGTTCTTATCAACAGAAACCAACTGTTCAGTCTAAAGCATTCCCAGGAGGTCACTGCAGACATACAAGGAAAATCTAAGCATACCTATCAAGTGTGACTTTCAGAACAGAAAAGCAAGAGAAGGCCATGCTCACCTGTCTTCCACTGTCTTACTGGAAGGGTAAAAAACTTTGAATGCAAATCCACTTCTTGGAAAAGAGCCCTTTAGAGACAAAAATGTCTGTAAGTGACTATTGGACTTGTAAAAAAAAATAATCCCTATTTTTAGAATCACATTTCTTAGTCAGGATTTAAAATTACAAGATGTGACTAAAACTGTTAGCAGTTTTTTTTTTTAAAGAGGTTATTATAAAATGTCACAGTCTAGTAATCTTCTAAGTTGACCAGTTTTATTCCAACAAATGTCATTGGAAATGCTTTGGCATGGCTCCACTCATAGAAACAAGTAGTACTGTAAAATATTAAACATGCGTAGAAGACAGACATTGTGTTCAAGGAGTCTTCCCTGCCTTCCCCCTCAATGCCAGGTTGACAGGATCCCAGTGTGCCCCCAGCACCACTGAGCAGGAATTACAAGCGACTGTCTATGATGAAGACCTAATGTTACCTCGGAGACTAGAGCTTTTCAGTCTGTCTGAAGCCCTGAATCAATGCTTGTCCTACAGCAAGCACTCAGTACTGTAAGTACCAAAAAGAGATAGAAGAAAAAATGGGGCTGGAAAGATGGCCCAGCAGTTAAACACATATACTGCTCTTTGAGATGATCCAAGTTCAGTTCCCAGTACCCACTTCAGGGGGCTCAACATCACTCCAGCTTCAGAAGCATCCGACACCCCTGGTCTCTGGGCACCTGCATGCATATGGGCATAGCCACACAGAGACATATACATATAACTTAAAAAATAATAAGATCATCTTTTTTAAGAAAGAAAAAAGTAATGAAGCATTATCAAAATATCAAGTTTTGAACCTGACCAAAATGTATAAGGTTAAAAAAAAGAGAGAGAGAATGTGTCAACTAAGAAAATGTCTGACAATATAGCAAATATCTAAAGAGGATATCCAATGAGGAAATAGTCTCACTGCGATATCTGAATGTAATGAAGACTGAGGGGCTGGAGAGATGGCCCAGCTGTTAAGAGCACTGGCTGCTCTTGCAGAGGAACCAGGTTCAATTCCCAGCAACCACATGGCAGCTCACAATCATCCATAACTCCAGTTCTAGAGAATCCAATGCCGTGTTTTGACATCCTTAGTCACCAGTCACACACATGGTGCATTTTTTTAGGTTTAAAATAAACCTTAAAAAAAAAAAAAAAAAAAAAAAAAAAAAAAAAGACTGTGAAAACCAGACCACAAATTTTATGCACCGAAGCCAAGTATGCTGATCCTTGGAGAATGATTCTCAACCAGGGATTCTTGTCCCTTAAGAGACATTCAGAAACATCTAGGGATACTTATGATTGTCACGAGTGAAAGATGTAACTGACATCCAGTGAGGATCAAGGATGCTGCCAAGCTTCCTACAGAGCATGAAAGCCCCTACAATCAAGAATTAATTACTTGGTCCAAGATGCAAATGTACCAAGGTTGATGATGAGCCCTGTGTAGATAGATAAAGCCACACAAATGTACACTTGACAAAAGCAACCAGATGAAACAAAAAGGTATTAAGATTTAAAATTCAGAAGAATCAGCATGCAGACTAAAAATCACAAGATGGCCCAGTGTAGAGGAGCACACCTTTAATCCCAGCACTCAGTAAGCATAGGCAGCTAGGTCTCAGGGTTTAAGGACAGCCTTGTCCATACAGAGTTCCAGGGCTACACAATGACACCCTCCCTCAAATCAAAACAAAGCAAACACACAACCAGCAAAGACAATGTTCTGTTTGATATAAACGATGGTTATGTGATTATTTGTGGTATGTATTTTCCAGGTCCTAAAGTCAATCATATCTTCAGATACTGAAGCAGCTTGAACATTCCAGAGTCATTTCAAAGTGCTGTAGAAAAATTAAATAATCAAGTGCACTGTAATGAAATTTCATTCATCGGGCTTGGACTCTGGACATTTGGGCAGTTTCTACAAACCACAATTCTCAAAGGAAAAGCATCAAGAAGGTAAAGAAATGGCTCCAGGATCTGAAAGCAATTCCCAAAGAGGAACTGCACAGTGTGTGACTTTGCTACATTGAAAGGAAAAATACTCATTTGATTGTATATTTTGGTCTGCTTATTATTTAAAAAATCTAGCCAGGTGATGGAGGCACACGGCTTTAGTCCCAGCACTTGGGAGGTAGAGGCAGGTGGATCTCTTAGTTCGAGGCCAGTCTGATCTACAGAATGAGTTCTAGGACATCCAGGGATACACAGAGAAACCTCTTGAAATGTCTTGGGGGGGGGAGCGGGGACGGACGGACAAAAAACTACAATACATTATAGTTATATCACAAACCAAGAGTTTAGGAATCTTCTATGTATACCAAATTATATCAGTGCTTAACTATGTATTTAATCACAGTGATGATTTTATTCTCTCATAAAGTCATAGAGATGTGCTATAGGGTGCAAAGTGGCTGAACAGGTAAGGTACTTGCTGCTGAGCCCGACAGCCTTGGTTCCATCTTTGGGACCCACATGGTGAAGGAGAGAACTGACTCTCACCATGGTATACACGCTACCACACACACACAAACGACACACAAGGTAATTTGCAAAATTAGAGAAGAGAAAGAAAAATGTGCTATACTCTTGCCCATCCATGGCATCCTTACAGGGTTTATGCAGAGGCACTCAGTGTTGGTCACGGTGAAGGGATCATACTTGTCTGCAATGACCAGCAGATCAGGCACAGGGTACACTCTCAGAGTATAATCATATGCCCAGTGGACGGGGCAGACATAAAGAGGCAGAGGAGTCAGATGTCCCTGAGATAAGACAGTCTTTACAAACTACAACAGAACACAAAACAAAACAAAACAGCTCATCAGTGAAAGCAAAAACCATGAAACAAGTAGTTTTAAATTAAGTATTGATTTCCATGAAGACCTGGAATATCTACAAAAAAAAAAAAAAAAGCCTTGAGTCACAGAACATGAAGAAACATTGCTCTTAGAATGAAATTATCACATATTCTAGGGAAAAACAATCTAAGTTTTCATTTAATATCATTTATCATAACACTGACCCTCTCTAGTCATTCTGAATCAACCGTAGATATAATAAAGTCATTTACTACTTCAACTCATTAAAAAAAAAGGGGGTGTGTGGTAATCTGTACTCCCACCAATTAGAAGGCTGTGTATTGCTATGAATTTGAGGCCAGCCTAGGCTACAGAGAGAGACCTTGTCTCCAAAAAAAAAAAAAAAAAAAAAGAAATCTAAAATAATAATAATAATATTTGATACTGCTGGACATGATAGTACATGCCTGTTGTCCCAGCTACAGAGACGGCTAAGAGGATTATTGGAGCCTATGAGTTTAGGCCAGCCTGACTAACTCAGTAAGACCCATCTCTTAAAAAACAAACAAACAAACAAAAAAAAAAAAACAATTATAACAATTTCACAGGGCTGGTAGGATTGCTCAGTGGGTACAGCGCTTGCCACCCACAATGCAAGCCTGGTGACTTGAGGTGGGTCCACTCCCCATGGAAAGGCGGAAAGAGAACGGACTTCACAAGCTGCTGCTCTCTGGCTTCCATACGTGTGCCACCCACACTATATACACACAAGAGGAAAAGTAAAAATTACAGCTTCATAGTGTAAGTCAGGGGTCAGTAGCCAGTCAACCCAGCTACGCAGTAAGACTATCTTTAAAAAGAAAAAGAAATTTGTAACAAAACATAAAAGTGATTTACTTCATACCTCTCAATGACAACTGTGTGTTTGAGAACTTTGAACTTACAAGATAAACACTGCATGTGCTGATGTGGACACACCATAGGAAATACATAGGCAGATCTCTGTGAGTTCAAGGCCAGCCTGGGCTACCAAGTGAGTTCCAGGAAAGGCGCAAAGCTACACAGAGAAACCCTGTCTCGAAAAAAAAAAAGAAATATGTAATAAACCTGAGAAATATGAGCATCTTTAAAAATAACACACATATTATGAAGTAAATCTAGGAGGTCTCAGGGAAACCGAGAAGCTTCAAACGAAGCCCCTGCTTGCTCTGGCCTTCCATCTGTCTCTAGGTTCTTCAGCAGAAAGCCACAACCCCGACATAAGAACAGAACTCCACTGCCATGGTACACCACAAGGAACAGCAAAACACAAGCGCACAGGGCTTAACTAAGTTCACAAAGCACAGCATTTAAAGGAGTTCAATCAAAGCCGGGCGGTGATGGCGTACGCCTTTAATCCAGCACTCAGGAGGCAGAGGCAGGCGGATCTCTGAGTCAAGGCCAGCCTGGTCTACAGAGCGAGTTCCAGGACAGCCAAAAGAGGAACTGTCTTGAAAAACAAACAAACAAAGAAAAACAAACAAAATAGTTTAATAAAACAGAAAAGCCCACAAGAGCTGAAGAGATGGCTCAGTGGTTAAGCAGTCATGAGGACCCGAGTTCAGATCCCAGCACCCATGTCAGACTGCTTGCCAACACCTGTAACTCAGCTCCAAGGGACCCAATGCCCTCTTCTGGCTTCCATACATGTGCACATACATGTGCATACTATGCTCACAGAGATACACACACAGAAATGACAAAACTAAAAAATAAATCTTTTAAAACAAAACCAAGGACTGGAGTACTGACTCAGTGGTTAAGAGCACTGTGGCTCTTGCTCAGGACCAGGGTTCGATTCCCAGCACCCACATGGGGGCTCACAACCCTCTCTAACTCCAGTCCCAAGGAATCCAATGCCGCCTCCATAGGCATCAGGCACAGCCATGGCACACGTACATACATGCAGGTAAAACATCCATATACACAATTTAATAAATAAATACAAAACAAAAGGTAGTTTACTGAAGAAGACTACTTACATGAGTAGGAATATCCAAACTGCTACTAGGAAAACGGACACAGTTTCGACACATTTTATTCACTAAGTCTTCACGAAAGACAATAATTTCTTGTGTACAATACTGAATTCTGAAATAAAGCAGTAGTTGAATATTTGACTTCCTCAGAGAAAAAAATGATTTTGAAAGTCTTTTAATATCAATATCACCCATTGCACTTCTCAATGGTCAACCAGTCTATCTCATCTGTTCTCCAATGCAATTATTTAAAGCTCTATCTATCTATCTGTCTATCTATCTATCTATCTATCTATCTATCTATCTATCTGTCTGTCTGTCTGTCTGTGTGTGTGTGTGTCTGTGTCGCACACATGCAGAGTGCTAGGGTTTGAACTAAGCCCTTTACATTTTCCATGAAAGCACTCTACCACTGAGATGTGCTCCCAGCCCTTTACTAAGTTCTAAATAAGTGCCCAACACTATGCAAAGATTAGTGAACAGAACAGAAGAAAAAGATACGAGTCTTACACACTTGACATTCTCATGCTGGAAGAGGGCAGAGAAATTAAAGACATGATAATGATGTCTGTTGGAAAAGAGAGACAGGTGAAGAGGGATCACACTCTGGGAGGAGAGGGTTTAGAAGGCTGGAGGATTAAGACAGGATTAGAGCCAGTGCTGTGGGATGTTCTGTATGGCAAATGTGTTGCTCTGATTAGTTAGTAAATAAAACACTGATTGGCCAGTAATCAGGCAGGAGGAAGTATAGGCGGGACAAGAAGGAAAAGAATTCTGGGATGTAGAAGGCTGAGTCAGAGACACTGCCAGCTGCCACCATGACAAGCCGCACGTGAAGATGCCGGTAAGCCATGAGGCAAGGTATAGATTTATGGAAATGGATTAATTTAAGCTATAAGAACAGTTAGTAAGAAGCCTGCCATACAGTTTGTAAGCAATATAAGTCTCTGTGTTTACTTGGTTGGGTCTGAGTGGCCGTGGGACTGGCGGGTGAGAGAGATTTGTCCTGACTGTGGGCCAGGCAGGAAAACTCTAGCTACAAGCCAGGAAGGCTCATCAGACACAGTGACCTAAGACATCTGGAAGCGGGCACTGCAGGCGGGGGAAGAGGCAAAACACAGGACCCAAGGCTGGAGTGTGCCTTGCATGCTTGGGACGCAGACACGGACGTGAGGAAGTAACCGGGAGAGGAAATTAAAGCGGAAACAGCGCATCACGCAGGGTGGCCATGACTACCTCTGCAAGGATGAGAGACCCCATCTTTCAAGACAGGAGGGCAACAGGACATGGTCTCTACAGGAAGGAGTGGAAGCCAGAGGCCACTTTAGAGGTTAATGATCCAGATTAGCAGGACCGGCGGGTCATAAATGTGAGAGGTGGCCTTTGAAGTTGATTGGGATACCTCAAAAACTGTGTGTAAGGGAAACCTCCATGGTTATGGCCTGAGCAATTGGAAAATCAAAGGTACCACAAAATGAGATGGGGAAGGCCCCAGAACAGGTGAGAGATGGTAGCTAGGGGAGGATCAGAGCTGTCATTTATCTACCAGACATCCAGGAAAAGATGACAGTGGACACCTGGACCCGAGAGTATGGGATTCAGGAGAAAGCTGGAAACACTGTTGCCAACACAGACGATAAATTCACTATTAGTTAGGTATTTGCATATAGTTAAAATATTCTTCAAACCTTGAGGAATCCAAAATCAAATTTTCTTTTTAGATTTACTCAAATTTCAGAAATAAATTTTTTAAATTAAACAAAAGAAGTTAAACACAAAATGCTGTTATTTACCTGCAAGGATTAGTAGTGAAAACTGAGAAAGGTACCCTTTGTCTGAATTCCTTCGTGATGCTTTCAGCAAGTGGCGGCCTATAAAAACAATGTGATACAGGATGTGTTTACAGATTTTACACCATTCTCCTGACTGCCAAAAAACAGAAAACAAATGTGAGCAAAGATTACCTTGGTAAGATGGAACCAAACCCAGGGTCCTCCGGACCAGGCACAAACACAAAACGGCTACTGTGGGAAAACCCAACACCACCATTAGAAATAACAAACAAAGTGTGACACCCCCGGGGGCAGAAATTAACTCACTGCCTTCCACTTCTTTTGTTTTTTTGAGTAGACGTCTTGCTATGTAGCCTGGAATCTGCAATCCTCTTGCCTCAATCTCCCCGGTACTCGGGTGCCATTATGCCTACCTACAATTTTTTTTTATTTTATGCATTTTAATAAACTGCTAAAAGTCTCCAATCTAAAACTATGCATTGGCAGCATGGTGACCAGTGCATCTGCACGGTCCAGTCACTGAGGATGCTTTAACTGTGGCTAGTGTGGCCGACGGACTGAATCTTAAGTAATTTTACATGTGTGTGTATGCTTGCACACACGTGCACATATATGTATGTTCAAGCCTGTGTCTGCTATGGCACACATGTGGAATTCAGAGGACATCTTGTAGGAGTTGGTTTTCTCCTTTATGGGTCTCAGGAATCGAACTCAGTTACCAGGCTTGGCAAGCACCTCTTCCCACCCAGCCACCTTGCTGGTCCAGATTGATTTGTCTTTACAGAGGTTCATGAGGACCGTGATGATCATGCGGAAGGTCCATCTCCAAACTAGTGTCACCAAAAACTACAGATCAGCTTGCCAGTCTGCCTTCTAAGTTTGGTTTCACTATAAATCCAGAGAGCAGGCTAACACACATGAGGATGTGAGAATTTTACCCTGGGATCTTTTAACACTCTCAACTTTTTCTACAGGCAATTTCTTTATAATCATTGATATAAATAAACTTCATGATTCATTAAAAAAAAAACTATTTTGGATTAAAAACAAAAAAAGGTAGATCGTTACCTTTGGTGGATACTTGGGTATTCACATATTATGTCTGCCAAAGACTTTAGGGAGTCTAAAAAATTTCAAAGATATTTAATTTAATTTGTATAAATCCATAAAGTTACAGTTGATTAAGTACAACCCTATAGCTCTTTAATAAAATTAAAGTATTATACATAATTTATCAATATAATTTATATAAACATAGAAACACTCTTAATGATTTGTTTGTTTTTCAAGACAAGTTTCTCTGTGCAGCCCTGGCTGTCCTGGAACTCGCTCTGTAGACCAGGCTGGCCTTGAACTCACAGAGATTCACCTGCCTCTGCATCTTGAGTGCTGGTATTAAAGGGGTGCAGTACCACTCAGCTTAGAAACACTTTTATAAACAAGATCTTCAATACCTTTCAAAGTCTGAACTTGATTTTTTCCATATGGTGCAGATGAGAAATTACCACAGAGAATGAAGCAGGTTGGAGGAGCCGGGGAATAACCTAGAGAACAAAAGAACACAGCTTTTCAAGGAGAAAATTTTGTTTTATTTATTTAATTATTTTTGAGACAGGATCTCACTATACAGCCCTAGCTAGCCTGGAATCCAGTGATCCACCTGCCTCTGTTTTCCAAGTGATAGGATTAAAGGCGTACATCATCACGCTTCGCTAGCTTTAACTGTGAAAGCTTTGGTTTTGTTTTTTTGTTTGTTTGTTTTTGTTGTTGTTGTTTTTTCCGGAGCTAAGGACTGAACCCAGGGCCTTGCGCTTGCTAGGCAAGCACTCTACCACTGAGCTAAATCCCCAACCCCTGTTTTGTTTTGTTTTTAAAACAGATTGCCTATGTTGCCCAGACTGGTCTCTAATCATGGCTCCATCCCCCACCTCAGGCTCCCATGTACCAGGGCCCACAGATGCGCTCTACCACAATAGCATGGCAGACATTTACTTTTAGGACACAACCCCTCAGAGCAGTTCAAGAAAGAGTACAAAAATACTATGTACCGGAAAACATTATGTGAAGCTTCTCCAACACTTGCACTTGGTCCAACCAAACATCAGACACAAACACAAACATGGCGTCCTTGTTCTCATCTTCCAGCTGTCTCAGTTTCGCAGAAGTCTTCACTGATGCATTAGAAGGCCCTCCAAAAAAATTAATATTTCCATAGTACGCCCTATATAATTACAACACGGTTATCTCCTATACCATGTCTAGTCACCAAGAAAGTAAAAATGTGCCAGATACAACAATCATGCAACACAGTATTCTAGACATGAAGTATGCTATCTGCAAATTAATTAAATAATACAGTATTCCAGACATGAAGTATGTTGCCTGCACATCATTTAAAAACATACGCGCGCACGCACACATGCACACACGCACGCACGCATGCACGCACGCGCGCACACACACACACACACACACACACACAGAACAGGCTATAAAGGGATACCCAGTATGCATGCTTCAAAAGCTGTACTCAGATCAGCTGTGATTACCCGCAAGACTGTCCAGAGCCCCCCAGCAAGGTCGGGCCTACTGGCAGTCTTCACAGGAGGGGATGGGGCAGTAAATAGAACCTCAGTGGAGAGTCCAGACACTGCACATGGCTGTATGTAATCCTGGCCCAGTTACAGTCTTGGGAGGTGTAAGGTGAACTGAGGAGAATGGACTCCATCTATGCACAATCATCGTCCATGCTGGGGCGAGACTTTTCAATAGGTCCCCCATGATGCTGTAAGCTCACTAAAGCCACCGTTTCACCAGGCAGATGTGAGTACAGCTGGTCCTCAGGTCTGCCACTGATGCCCTAGCAAGTCTCCTCAGGACAGGTTACAGGAACAGCACACTTTAGTGCCACAGGAGCAAGTCAAGTCCCCTCAGCGGCTCCCCTGGCTGGAGCTTCTCGTCCAACCCCTTCTGTATGAAGCAAGAGGGCAGTGCTCCCCTCTACCTCGGCGTCACAGGTGCCTGGCAACTCATTTTGTTCCACTGTTCGTGCACCACGGAGCCACACACTGCACACTGACAGGGATTTGGACTAGACTCCATAAATAATGAGAATTATCTATACAGGTAATTCATATAGATACATAAATCGTAACAAAGTATACGCTCATTAAATTCATTTTTCTTTTGATGCCTTTATAGTCTATTTTTTTTTAATTTTCACTTTAAAATTTTTGAGTATTTGTGTGTGTGTGTATGTGTGTGTGTGTGTGTGTGTGTGTGTGAGAGAGAGAGAGAGAGAGAGAGAGAGAGAGAGAGAGAGAATGTATGTCACACAATTGTACCTGTGGTGGTGGGGGGGGGGAGGAAGAATGCATGTCATGTGAGCGTGTACCTGTGGAGACCAAAAGCGGGCATCAGATCTAGAGCCAAGACACGTGAGTTTCCATTGCTTTTTCCATTTCAACACAAAGTGTAGACACCGGGTAGTGACTGAGATAATGTAGTGACATTACATTCGCTAATGCCAGTATACAAATTCCTGTGGCACAGAACTCAAGCGCTTTAATACCTTGTTGTACTAGCGGGCTCAGTGGGTGGGAATCCAAAGGCATTGACATGAAACACTTGATCTTCAAACCAACCTAAAAAAATACAAAACAAATGGGTAACAAATCACTTTTATCTGTTCATTTTTGAAAAGGCAAATCCACGTCACATAAAGCAATGAATTCAACTACAGAAGTCACCAATCTTACTGAGCTATCCAACTCCAGAGCCACGGACCGTCCCCATTTTATAAGGAAAACTACCTTAAACAAGCACACCCCAGCCCAACAGACTCATAATTTAGGGTGGGGTGAAAGGGGATTCATGGCACACGTCAGAGGAAAGAGAGAGCAGCCACATCGATGAGAAGTCATTGAGTGTGTGACCCCTTTTAAAGTCCAAAGGAGACTTTCAGTCTTACAAGCTGCGACTCACTGCACAGCGTGCACATGGGTGGTTTTCAGTACACACGGGCTGTGCCGCTTTCTCCAATGTCTAATCTCAAGACGTTTTCCTCAGCCCTGAAACCTTTCCAACAGCACGCTTCTCAAGAGTCCCCTGCTCATTGTGCCAAGGTCACATGCTTGTCGTGAATGTCCTCTGGAATGACATCCTAAGGTGTCTTCCCCAAGTAGGAACAGTTTGACTATCCAGCAAGGACAGGAAAAGGGCACATCGCTTACCTTCAGCCAGGACAAAGCATGCCTCGGTGTACAGGCCACTGTGGAACTGGTACAGAGCAGCTGAGGAAGAGTTCGATGCCAGCATACTGCCTGAGCAACAGGGCACTTCTAGCTTTGGGGTGTTGTTCTAGATTTCTCTTAGGGGCTTGTACTGCTCTTAGAAGGGAGGTCTTGTTTGTTTGTGGTTGGGGGAAGGTTGAGACATGTAGCCCAGACTGGCCTCAGAACTCCTAAAACTCAGTGCTGGGATTAAAGGTGTGCACCACCACTGCCCGGTCTGAAAAGAGTTTTAAACGATAAACCGCAGGAGGGCAAGATGGCTCAGTAGGTAAAGACACTCACTGGCAAGACTGAGTTCAACACTCAGCACCCACATGGTAGGAGAAACCAAACCCCTGCGAGTTGTCCTGTGACGTCCACATACACACCAATGGATATACATCACACACACAGACACAGACAGACACAGACACACACACACACACACACAAATTATAATTTTTAAATTAAAACATTATAATAAACTGAAAACTTCACAATGATGTATATGTCAGTCGTGGCATGTTATAAGTTTCTCCAGGGATTTCTCCAGATTCCCCAATAAGAAAGACTTTAGTCTCTAAAAGTGTGTCTGTATTCCAATGTTACCACCACATACAAGTTATACTGGAAATCCAAAGAGACACGTTTAAGAATGACATAAAAGCAATTTCCTCTCTTGTGGAATATTTGATCACACCCCGTAAAGATGTGTCTCTGTCCTTCTTTGCTTGCTTAAGGCACCTTCTGACTGGGTTAATATAGAACTGAATGGTCAATAGCTAGGCAGGAGAGGGAGAGAGAGGAACTTAGAGGAAGAATCTGAGAGGCGAGAGATTCACTAGCGAGGCACAGAGGAGGTCAGATGTATGGATGGTATTGAGGAGCGCTAACGACTCACATGACAGAATGTAGATTAATATAAATGGGTTAATTTCAGTTTTAAGAGCTAGTTGGGAACAAGCTTAAGCTAAGACCAAGGTTTCATATTTAATAAAATGTCTATGTGTCATAAAAAAAAGCAATTTCCCAGTTCCTTTAACTTAATCATTTTATTTACTTATGTATTTATTATGTTTGTAGTGCTTTGTAGGTGCTCTCCAAAGAAGCTAAACTCCCAGCCTGAAAACAGAGTTCTCGTTTTAAATTTTCAAAAGTTTATTAGTTTGTTCTGTTTTACATGTATGGGTGTTTTGCCTACATGCATGTCTGTAGCCTGAGGAGACCAGAAGAGGGCATCAGACCCCCTGGAACTGGAGTTATAGATGGTTGTACGTGGCCTTGTGGGTGCTGGGAATTGAACCCGGATACTATAGCAGCAGCTGCCCTTATCTGTTGAGCTATCTCTTCAGCCCCTAGTTTTTTGGTTTTTTTTTTTTGGAAACAGGGTCTCACTATGTAGCCCTGGCTGGCCTGGAGCTCACTATGTAGACAAGGCTGACCTTAAACTCAGAGACTGGCCTGCCTCTGTCTCTGGAGAGCTGGGATTCAAGGCGTGTGCCACCACACCTGACTCAGAATTTCTTTTTTTGGTTTTCAAGACAGGGTTTTGCTGTGCAACAGACCTGGCTGTCCTGGAACTCACTCCGTAGCCCAGGCTGGCCTCAAACTCACAGAGATCCACCTGCCTCTGCCTTCCTAGTGCTGGAATTAAAGGTGTTCGCCATCAAATCCAGTCAGATTTTTTTTTTCTTTAAGGATATAGCTTTACTAAGATCCAGCTGTACTGTTCCGGTGGGATCTTCCAGGAAAAACTTCCCCTAAAACAGAATTAAATGAAACAGACTCACGTTTGTGTAAAAATGAATCCTATTACAGATAATTAAAGGACCACCAAGTGTGACAACAGGACGCAACAGAGAGGCATGGATCTGGAGGTGTAATACCCAGTCCACATTTTTGCGCTTATTTCTTGGCAGCCTCAGACTAACCACTTCCCCGAGACTCCCAGTCACTGAGGAACAGGTGCTGCAGACCACGGGGTGACAGGGAAGGCCCCGGCTGCTCGCCACTCGGCCTCACCAGATGCTTTACTAAGAGAATGACCAGGACCTCCAGGTCACCAGGATGTGGTCAGCAGCTCGCTCATTCCGAAACCCAGAGTCAGTTCAAGCAGGGGTCACTCCGGGGCTACCCGGAGGCTATGCAAATTGAACACCTGGTCAGTCTTTCCCTCCAAGGACAGAAAACTGGACACAGGTGAAGAGGGTAGCTACTGGGCTTTCTGTGAAGAATGTGTTCCTGTGGTTTTTATGAAAATGCATTGCCATAGCAGCAATGCATCGCCAAATGCAAGTCCAAAAAGATAAAAAGTAAGCCTGGCAGCCTCCACATACCTCTTTCAACTGGGTTATCATTCCAAGGACAATCACGTCGCCAACTTTGCTTGTACTACCCAGTAAAGTTTCTATTGTTTTAAGCTAAAATAAAACAGAATAAATCCTTAACGATTAAAAGCATATTCTAATTTCCTTACAGATAAGTAAATGCCAAGTACAAGTTTGCTACATATAGCTGCTTTACAGTAAGAAGATTAATCTGCAAGTTTAGTTTCCTCCTACAAAAAGCTAAATGTCAAATGTATAATGAACAAAAATGTAACCAAAGAAATCAAATACAGGGATTCATGCCTAAGGACAGAGGAATGCTGTGTCTGAGGCCAGCCTGGACCTCAGTGAGTTCGAGCACAGCCCAGGCTATAAACACACAATCTTAAAACAGAACAAAACACACACACACACACACACACACACACACACACACACACACACACACACACAGGAGAAGAAATGTATGGTTACCAATGACTAATGCATCACAATGCATTCCTCATGGACAGTAAATATTTATTGTTTTTGTTTTATTGTGTTTTGTTGTTGTTTGGTTTGGTTTGGTTTTTCAAGACAAGGTTTCTCTGTGTAGTCCTGGCTGTCCTGGAACTCACTCTGGAGACCAGGCTGGCCTCGAACTGAACTCAGAGATCGGCCTGTCTCGGCCTTCTGAGCACTAGGATTAAAGGCGTGTGTCACCACTGCCTGGCTTGTTTGGTTGTTATACAGCCCTAGCTGGCCTGATACTCCTTGTATAGTACGGGCTGGTCTTGAACTGGCAAGTGCTGGACTCACAAGCATATACCATATAATTTTCATACTGGGGCAAGGGGCATGCATCCATATTGAGTATTGAGGGAGTCCATTCCCTCCTTCACCATAAGGCGTCTAGTCCAGGTCATGAGGCTTGGCAGCAGGGACCTCACCTGCTGAGCCACCTTGACAGCCTTATTTATTATTTTTTCAATTATTTTTTCACGGTTATATACGTTTGTGTACTCAAGCAAGAGTGTGTCATGGTGTAGCTGCGGAAGTCAGAGGACACTTTGAGGGAGTTTCTCCTTCCACCATGTAGGTCCTATGGAGCAAACTCTGCTGGGCAAGGTGGTGACAAACACCTTTCCCCCCTGGGCCATCTCGCCGGCCCTGTTTTTACTTTTCAAGACAGTCGGCCACGTTGCCAGGGTAGGCTAAAACTCTCAACTCTTCTGCTTTTGCTTTTTCAGTGGCAGAATGGTAGGTGTCATCATGATTTATTTGGTGAGTACTACTTAAAACTTAATGAGTCTGGGGAGCTAGAAAGCTAGCTCAGCAATTAGGAATATTTACTGATCTTGCAGAAGACCTGGCTTTGGTTCACAACACCCATATGTGGCAGTTCATAACTGCCTGTGACTGCCAGGGGATCTGCTGCCCTCTTCTGGTCTCTGTGGGCATTGCACTCACATGGTACACATAGACAAGCAGGCATAAAAATCTTAAAATTAAGAAAGTTAAAGTGTTGTTCAAAAAAATTAATGTTTTTTTCAAAATTTATACCCTAATTATATTTAGTATTCCTTAAAGTTGTTATTTATATTCTCAGCCTGATAATTATACTTTATATCAGAAAGTCAAAGCTAGGTATGGTAGTACACACCTTGAACACCAGCACTCTGGAGGCAGAGACTGGTAGATCTCTGTGAGTTTGAGGCCAGCCTGGTCCACATAGCAATGTCTGAGCTACATAGATAGATTTTGTCTCAAAATGAAAAGGAGGAGGAGGAGGAGGAGGAGGAAGAAGGAGAAGAAGGAGAAGAAGAAGAAGAAGAAGGAGGAGGAGGAGGAGGAGGAGGAGGAGGAGGAGGAGAAAGGAAGTAACAATTAGGTTACCATTTTTTTGTGGTGATGTAGCCTTGGCTGGCCTCAAACTCACTGTGTTGACCAGGCTAGCCTTAGACTCATAAAGATTCCCAGTGCTGGGATGAAAGACATGAACGAAAGAATATATACTCAGCCTTCTGTATCTATGGATTCTATCCCTGTGGTTTCAACTAATTTGGGCTCAAAAATATTTGAAAAAAAAGTTCTGTCTGTATTGAGCATATACAGATTTTTTTCTTTTCTTTTTTTTAACGATTTATTTATTTATTGTGTATACAGCATGTATGACCAAAAGAGGGCACCAGACCTTATTACAGATGGTTGTGAGCCACCATGTGGTTGCTGGGAATTGAACTCAGGACCTCTGGAAGAGCAGTCAGTGCTCTTAACCTCTAAGCCATCTCTCTAGCCCAAGATTTTTTTTCTTTTCTTAAACCACTATCAGAGATCTAACCTAGGACCTCATGCAGGCTGGTCAAGGGTTCTACCACTGGGTTACATCCCACAACTACATAAGCTTGTTATTCTTTTTTTTTTTTTTTTGGTTTTTCGAGACAGGGTTTCTCTGTGTAGTTTTGCGCCTTTCCTGGAGCTCACTTGGTAGCCCAGGCTGGCCTCGAACTCACAGCGATTCGCCTGGCTCTGCCTCCCGAGTGCTGGGATTAAAGGCGTGCGCCACCACCGCCCGGCCAAGCTTGTTATTCTTATCTTCTAAGCAATAACTTCCATTGTATTACAAATTATAAGTTATCTAGGAATGATTAAATATATAGGAGGATGCATAAGCTATATATAACTAATATGCCATGTGATTGGAGGACTGGAGTTACATTTAAAAAACATCAACGTGAAGCAACATAGTACAAAGACATAACAAAATACTGTTGTTTTTAGAATCAAACCCAGGGCTTAGATATGCTAGGCAAGTGTTCTATCACTCAGCTCCGCCCCCAGCCCTCCAAATACGTATGAAACACACTATTTTTGTAGTTTATAAAAGGAAATTTCCGCTCAGATTCTATAGATAGTCTATTTGGGTTTCCGCTTGCTCTTAAGTGTTGCTTAAATAGGAAACAAACCATCACAGACACAGAACTGAACAGAGCTACACATTATTTAGCCATGTAAGTCTCAAAAGTATTTTGACAAAGAGAAGAGAAAGCATTGCTTCTGGGCCGTGGACATGCACGCTGACATCAGAAACCTAACACACGCGACACAGACAGACTCTGGTAGGGAGATGTGAGTCATGGCCATTTCCAAGAAGACATAAATTATACTGTAATAGAGTCAAGTGCAGAAACTGTCGAATACTACCAGTGTTTTCTCTTTGTGTGCCACCACTGAACATTAATTTTTGTTTTTTAAAACAGAGCCTCATGCAGCCCACGTCGGCCTCAAACTGACGACAGAGCTGAGGATGAGCTTGGATTCCTCGCTCCCCTGCCTCCACCCAGGTGCGAGGATCACAGGTCCGCACCACCACACTCTCAAACGTTAGTTTAACCTCATCCAGTACTACTGTTCCAGTCTCCAACAGAGCCCTCAGCACCATGAATTCTGATCCACCAAGGCAGAGAACCTAATGAACACCCAAGAGGTTTCCTCAAAATCCACCAAGACCCTCAGGAAACTGGCAAGGCCCAGACAGAAGAAGCAAGGACTGTCCCTGAGCAGGGTTCTGAGCACTGGCGAGGAGAGAGCTACAGACAGACAGACTGACAGTGGCCAGGCCAGGCCTACGGCGGAACCAAAAATGACAGAGATGTTTGGGAATCACCTTCCAAACTCTGAAAGCAGAAGGTGCACACAGTCCAGCTCTCCCTCATTCAAGTTACAACTGCAGGGCGGGCCCCTCTGTGTTCTCACACTCACTCCTCCCTGTCTCTTCTGTACGCCAGGGGTGGGGGTCCTGAAACCAATGTTCCTCTGATACCTCACGTTTTCCTTACAGTGGATATGGCACATTTTAGTCTAACAAGTCTGGTGATCAACAGAGGATGGGCAACGATCAGTGCTGTGAGTGAGGGCACAAAGGGTAATGAAAAGCTGATCAGAAAGCCGGCCCAGGGCTTAGGAGGACTAGTGTTGGAGGCCAGAGACTATGTGGATGCTTCCCTGGTACCAGGCCTGCTCCAAAGATGAATTAACCTCTACTGAAGGGCTACAGAACCCACAGCATTCGGCACGGTCCTTACCAGCAACTGTCAGGCAGCCAGGCCTACAAGCCAGTGTAACAGGTACACGAGTTTATTTTCATTTAAAATTCAATGAACTAAGCCGGGCGGTGGTGGCGCACGCCTTTAATCCCAGCACTCGGGAGGCAGAGCCAGGCGGATCTCTGTGAGTTCGAGGCCAGCCTGGGCTACCAAGTGAGTCCCAGGAAAGGCGCAAAGCTACACAGAGAAACCCTGTCTCGAAAAACCAAAAAAAAAAAAAAAAAAAAAAAAAATTCAATGAACTAGCCAGGCATGGGAGGCAGAGGTATGTGTGTCTGGGGCCAGCTCTCTACACAGTGAGTTTCAGGCCAGCCAGGGTATATAGTAAGATCTTATCTCAAGCAAAAAAAATTAAAAAAAAAAAAATCAATGAATTAAAAGTAGCTAGCCAGGCAGGATGGTTCACTGGTGAAAAATTCTTGCCACCAAGTCTAATGTCCTAAGTTCAATGCCCAGGTTACACATGGTGGAAGAAAGAACCAGCTCCTGCAAGTTGTCCTCTGACTTCCACATGGGCCACAGCACACATAAAAATAAGTGCACAAAAAAGTAGCAATAAACATTACACTTGTATCACTATAATACAGCTCCCAAATAATTAAGACAATGCTCAAACCTGGAATTTGCTCCCGCTTTCCTCAGGGTGTGAGCCTATCACCGGAGGGGTAAATAATTCGTGTCTGTGTGTCCTCTGTAAAAAAGAGAGAGTCTTATGAATCACTGAACTAGACATTAAAAAAGATGAGTCATTAAAACACCAAAGACAAAACACTGTCCCTAAGCTGTTACTGTTGCTTCTTCTCATCACATGTGAAAACCTGTATTAGTTTAACAGCAGGCAAACACCTAGCAATTCCCCCTCTGCAAACCCAGGGCCCTGCACCAGCGAGGCAACTCTATCACAGAGCTAAATCCCCAACCCCTACAGCAACTCCTAAAACAAAAAGTATTTAAAAGCCCGAGCTTGGAAGCTAGCAAGAGAGAGAGAGAGAGAGAGAGAGACAGAGACAGAGAGAGACAGAGAGAGAAGCTACTGTGGTAGTTTGAAAGACCCCCAAAAGGAGTGGCACTATTAGAAAGTGTAGGTTTTTTGGAGTAGGTATGACCTTGTTGGAGAAAGTGTGTCTCATATATGCTCAAGCCATGCCCAGTGTCTCAGACCACTTCCTGTTGCCTGTGGGTCAAGATGTAAGAGCTCTCGACTACCTCTCTAGCACCACATCTGCCTGCATGCTGCCTTGCTTCCCACCATGATAATAATGAATTAACCTCTGAAACTAGCCAGGCGGTGGTGGCGCACGCCTTTGATCCCAGCACTCAGGAGGCAGAGCCAGGCGGATCTCTGTGAGTTCAAGGCCAACCTGGTCTACAGAGCGAGATCCAGGACACCAGAACTACACAGAGAAACCCTGTCTCGAAAAACAAAACAAAACAAAAGACAAAAAAACAAAACCTCTGAAACTGTAAATGAGCCACCTCAATTAAACGTTTCCTTTGTAAGAGTTGCTGTGGTCATGGTGTCTCTTCACAGCAATAGAAACCCTAAGACACCACCATACAACACAGTACTGTAAGGACTGGCTGTACACCAGGCCAAAGAGATCATTTAACAAGACCCAAATGAGGGGATACGGAAGGAAGAAAAAGAGGGTGATAACAAGAAACTTCAGGGGCAGTGGTGGCGCACGCCTTTAATCCCAGCACTCGGGAGGCAGAGGCAGGTGGATCTCTGTGAGTTC